CTGAGGGATCCCCCCTTCCCCCCTGAGTGCACAAATTTTTGTGCACCGGGCCTCTAGTCTATATATATATAAAGGCCTAAGCGACTGGCCAGCTGGTAGCTATGATGCACATTGACCACCAGGAAGCAGATGCTCAATACAGGAGCAAAAACCACAGGCATGGAAACATGGAACAGACTGATGAATCTCAGAGGGAAGAGGGGAGAGGGGAAGGGGAAGGGCGGGAAGAGATTAACCAAAGATCTTATATGCATACTAGAGGCCTGGTGCATGAATTCGTGCACCGGTGGGGTCCTTCAGCCTGGCCTGTGGGGATCAGGCCAAAACTCTCCGACATCCCCCAAGGGGTCCTGGATGGTGAGAGGGTGCAGGCCAGGCCAAGGGACTCCACTGGTGCACGAATCCATGCACCGGGCCTCTAGTAAATATATATTGTGACATATTTATGCATTTCAGTTCTCTATCATATGTTTTGAAACTTTATTTGCTATTTTTTCATATCACTTCATATCATTTTTTTAAAACAATTTCTTAGTGATTTCTTCCTCAGTACTTCAACTATCCTTTCATTCTTTTATTTTTCTCTTTTGTGGATGCCATGTTCTTTGGAAGCTTGTTTAGACCAAGTTAATGGCCTTTTAGGCTTCCTCCATGTGAATAGGAGTTCACTTTTTGAATACAGTAATAAGAATTATGTGTCACGGGGGGAGGGGTGGTAATCAGGATTTTAGAGATGTTTAGGTGGGACATGGCCAAGAAAAGGTTGGGAGCCACTGCTTTAGAGGAATGTATTAATTTCACTATCTCACAATTAAGTTTAAGATTGAATGTGATAAACACAATCCAATGAGCTCAAGGGAGGGCAGCTAGCAAATGCAATCATTTTACAGCTGTTTCTCAAAGTTGTAAATTTATTTGAGAATTTTCTTTTCTTGGAGATATTAGCATAAAAGAATATTTGCATTTCTGGATCTTGGATAAGAAATGCATATTAAAATCAGTCCTAACTGTGGAAATCCAACCATATGTTCCTTTTCAAATGGTATAATTTAGATAGAAACAATTTAGAAACAGCTAGCTTGGTAATTAGAGAATTCACAGATATAATTCATTAAATCGCTTAAATTTATATACATACAACCTCACCTAAAGTTCCTAGAAGAAAAAAAGGCATTCTTCCTAAGAAGCTTAATTAGTATTTCTCCATCAGTATTTGGTTAGAATTCCCCACCACAGTCTAAAAAGCCCATCTGCAATGCCACCTTGATATAGGCCATGCACTCCTAACCCTCTTCCAATCCTCTGCCCTCCTTCAGTCTCCTGTCCATTTTCCAAGCTGGAGCCCTGCTGCTCACTGCTCTCCTGTGGATTACCTGGGCATTCCATTCTCAGTCAGAGGCTCTCAGAGCGGGCAGAAGACGTTTTCTAACCCAATGCTTATCCAGTGCTCAAAACATCTTGCCATATGTTACCACCGACAGAGAGCTCCTTACTTTGAACAGCCTGAGCTCTTTTTAAACAGCCCTGGCTGTGGGAAAGTTCTGTAAAGAGTGAGCCAAAGTTCATCTCTCTGTAGTTGTCACCTACGGATCTGACTTCCATCCCTTTGTGGTCACAGAGCAATGGTGATAGACGTTGTCAGTCAAGTACAAAGGCAGCCCTGTTCCACTGTTTCTTCTCCAGGCTAAACACTCTGGTCCCTTCCCCTGCTCTTGCACAGGCTTTGGGACCCCTCTCCACCCAGGTCTTTCTGAATGACCGACACTTATCTCTATTCTTCTCAGACAAGAAAGAACCCACCAAAATGGATTTTCTATTCTGGAAAAAAAAAAAGACCATATTTCTTGGGAAATGACCCAACATTTTGGCAGTAACGCAGGGTTCAGTGCTCGCTTTGGCAGCACATCTACTAAAGTTGGAACGATATAGAGAAGATTAGCATGGCCCCTGCACAAGAATGACATGCAAATTTGTGAAGCGTTCCATATTAAAAAGAAAAAAGAAACCACACAGGGTTCACTCATTGATTTCATTATCCACTAAAATTCTAAAGTCTTGCACGCTTACTGCTAAGGCACTTCTTCCCCTCCCACGGTAGGTTTCTAGACCATGAGCCCTACTTTGTATTCATCCTCATTAGATTTTACCCTCTTCAATGAGACCCGCTGATCTAATGTTGTGGAGCTGGTGTGTCAGCACAGCTCCACACGTTCTCCTCTGGCTTCGCGCCATCCAGTTTGGAAAGCCTGCCTTCAACAGCCAAATTCAACAGCCAGTTCATCCCAGTCACTGGTAAAACCCTGGAGCAACCCAGAAGGTCACGCACACTTCCCCAGGCACCATCCAGGCACACCCGGTAGTCACCACTGCCTTTCCATTGGTTCTGTGCTATCACAGCCAAAGCACCATTCCCAACTTTTTTTTGCCTGCCATTTTAATTTCCAATCCTCTTCTCATTTTTCTATCAGAGGGCAAGTGGAATTTGGGTCACAACAAGTCTAAACATCTACCTATGAGATGAATAATAAAAAAAAATGTTTAAAAGTACTAAATTGGCTCTATAATATGGTATTGAAATTCTAAAAATCAATTATTTTACTATCAACATAGACTACGTAGATGTGTAATGAATTCTTTTGAGTTTATTTAGCATACTAACAGACTACTCTCTCCAGTGTATTTTACTTGAAAGGGTTATTCATTATGACCATGAACATGCATAGCTGCTAACGATCCTTTCTTTGGTAGCAAACTATTTCAGGTCAGCGGTCAGTTGAATCCACAGGCCTGAGATCTGCTCATGGACCATGTGCGCTACCATAGGAGACGGAGGCCAGTCTGTGAGGGAGTGAAGACTCCAGAACACTCCTGGCCGTTCCGGACACTGAACTGCCTCGGAGGCTGCATGGGCAGCTCAGAGAGGTCTGATGTGAAGTCTGTTCTTTTGCTCTGTGGACTTAGGAAATTTATGTACACTCTGGGCCTCAGTATTTCCTTTGTGAAATAAAAACAATATTTAACCTGCTTCACAGGGTGGATAAAAAGATATTAAATAAAATTAATGAAATGATGAATGACTCAAGACTGTAGTAGGTAATCATTAAATGTTGGTTTCTTTCTAATTCACAGATATATGTGACATTAATAATACTAATGTTGTCCTAATAGTCATAGGGATGTAAAGTACAGGATAGGGAACATGGTCAGTAATATTATAATAACTATTAGTATGTATGGTGCCAGGTGAATACTTGAATTATCAGGGTGATCACTTTGTAAATTGTGTAACTGTCTACCATGGCGTTATAGCCTGAAACTAATGTAAAATAATATTTGGCAACTGTAATTAAAAAATAACATTAAAAATGTATAATAATATTGTCCTGCTCAGAGTTAACCTTCAATGAATGAGAGAGCTAACAGGAGAGAGGAACTGCTTTGTGTGTATGCATGCACGTCATGAAAATAGCAGCTAAAAGAAATCTAAAAAACCCATTTGAATTTATAGACTATTCATATTTTTAAAAGCTTACCTCAAATTCTCATTGTTCAATATTTAGGGATGTAAAGTACAGGGCCAATTACCATGTTTCTCTTTTATTAGTGTAGATTAGTATGTATGGTGCCAGGTGAATACTTGAATTATCAGGGTGATCACTTTGTAAATTGTGTAACTGTCTACCATGGCGCTATAGCCTGAAACTAATGTAAAATAATATTTGGCAACTGTAATTAAAAAATAACATTAAAAATGTATAATAATATTGTCCTGCTCAGAGTTAACCTTCAATGAATGAGAGAGCTAACAGGAGAGAGGAACTGCTTTGTGTGTATGCATGCACGTCATGAAAATAGCAGCTAAAAGAAATCTAAAAAACCCATTTGAATTTATAGACTATTCATATTTTTAAAAGCTTACCTCAAATTCTCATTGTTCAATATTTGTCTAGTATTTTAATCTTAGGGGATTTAATGAAATATTTTAGACTAACATTTTAATACCTTTCTACTTGCGATGTGCATCAAGGATTAGCGCCAGAGGTATCCCCAAGGAACTTGCTAGAAAGGCATCAAAATCTACATTTTCACAAGGCCCTCAGCTGATTTGTACCAATGCTGAAGTTTGAGAATAACTGGTTTAACAGAGCATATCCTCTTTCAAGTTAACTTTTGTGTGTTTTCTGTTCTTCTATATAATACTTGGAATGGTATTTAACAACTAGGCTTTTAATTAACAACATCCTTTTTAGTTAACGATATACTTTTTCTTCACATATTGTCCCTTTCATTTCTAAATCTAGAAGCAGAAATATAAAAAGAAGTCAAACTTCTCATCCTTTCATTAAGTTGACATCACCCATAAAAGATTCAACTGCGGGGAGGGGAAAAAACAACAATATGTAGCTTTGCTTCCTGGAACAAGACAACAAAACATCTTGCAAGTAGATGTAATCTAAAACTTTAGATTAGTAGGAAGTGTGCAATTTAAAAGCCTGTTAATTTTCCAAGGAACTATGTCTAAATCCACCTTACTATAAGAATATTCTTTAGTGGAATAAATATGGTCATTATAACTAATTTATCTAGCATCCAAGTTAGATTGACATTTTTTTCAAAGAGACATTCACAACTTCACAGAAATTTCAGGCTCCTTCAACTATGTCTCAAATCTTTAAAAAGTGAAAAACTGCATGATTGAGAAAACAACCAAGAACTACTACCATGGCTGATGTACTTCTTTTATGCTTGGGAAAGGGGCACGACAAGTAAATTGAAAATTATAAGTTAGAATAAGCCCACGTGTTTTATTTACCAAGCCTTTTAGTGAGCTACTCGCCCTCCCATAATATAGTTCTAGTTGACAGCTAACAAATGGACTATGAATGCTGGACAAGATCTCTCTTTACCCTCTTAGAGATGTTACAGTGCACTTGACTAGCAGAACTGGGCCTTCCAAGGGGATCAACCTGAAATGGGTCCTAGAGTTAAACTGGGCTTACCTGCTGGGTCCCTCACTGGTTCCCAGTGCAAGTCACTGTCTTTCTCCCTGATCCATCCGCAAAGCCCATGGTCAAAACTGCAACTATGTATCAGGACACCTGCAAGGAAATGACCAGAAAGGCGAGTAAACCACAAATGAACAACAGAAACACACTTGTTAACAAGGTTATCAGTACAAGTGTTCTCTCCTATCCACACTTCACTAACCCACCAGAACTTCTCTCCAGGAGATCAAAAGGGAATCTCACGAATCCCTTCTCAGCACAATTGTGCCTATGTGCTCAACGGTAAAAACACAGCACACAAGTGTTGCCAATTATGACCTTTTACATCACCACTTAAAAATATGATTTCCTCCTCATCCTATCCTATATAATAAAGAGCTAATATGCAAACGGTTGTCATACCCTCACGTCGTCACACCCTCATGCCATAACTGCTCAGACCCTCAACACTGGGGAGAGAGGAATGGAGACCAGCCAGCTGCAGCCTGGGAGAGGGACAAGCCACCCACCCCGTGGTCCCAGGCGCCTGCAACAGTGGCCTGGGTGAAGCTGCCCACCCACAGTATGCTGCAGCTGCGGCCAGTCTGGGCGAAGCTGGCCTGGGTCCTGTGTGCCTGCGGCTGGCCAGAGGGAGGGAAGCACGGATCCCGGGTGCAGGGCGAGGCAGAGGTGGTTAGGGGCAATCAGGCCAGTAGGGGAACACTTAAGGGTGATCAGGCAGGCAGGCAGGCAAGCAATTAGGAGCCAGTGGTCCTGGATTGTGAGAGGCAGGTGGACATTCCCCGAGGGGTCCCAGATTGGAGAGGGTGCAGGCCGGCTGAGGGACTCCCCACCCCCGTGCACAAATTTCGTGCACCAGGCCTCTAGTAATTTATATTAAATGCTGCATATATATATATATTCTTTCTCCCTGATCCATCCGCAAAGCCCATGGTCAAAACTGCAACTATGTATCAGGACACCTGCAAGGAAATGACCAGAAAGGTGAGTAAACCACAAATGAACAACAGAAATGCACTTGTTAACAAGGTTATCAGTACAAGTGTTCTCTCTTATCCACACTTCACTAACCCACCAGAACTTCTCTCCAGGAGATCAAAAGGGAATCACACGAATCCCTTCTCAGCACAATTGTGCCTGTGTGCTCAACGGTAAAAACACAGCACACAAGTGTTGCTAATTATAACCTTTTACATCACCACTTAAAAATATGATTTCCTCCTCATCCTATCCTATATAATAAAGAGCTAATATGCAAACGGTTGTCATACCCTCACGTCGTCACACCCTCATGCCATAACTGCTCAGACCCTCAACACTGGGGAGAGAGGAATGGAGACCAGCCAGCTGCAGCCTGGGAGAGGGACAAGCCACCCACCCCGTGGTCCCAGGCGCCTGCAACAGTGGCCTGGGTGAAGCTGCCCACCCACAGTATGCTGCAGCTGCGGCCAGTCTGGGCGAAGCTGGCCTGGGTCCTGTGTGCCTGCGGCTGGCCAGAGGGAGGGAAGCACGGATCCCGGGTGCAGGGCGAGGCAGAGGTGGTTAGGGGCAATCAGGCCAGTAGGGGAACACTTAAGGGTGATCAGGCAGGCAGGCAGGCAAGCAATTAGGAGCCAGTGGTCCTGGATTGTGAGAGGCAGGTGGACATTCCCCGAGGGGTCCCAGATTGGAGAGGGTGCAGGCCGGCTGAGGGACTCCCCACCCCCGTGCACAAATTTCGTGCACCAGGCCTCTAGTAATTTATATTAAATGCTGCATATATATATATATATAT